ATTGACAACTGTATTGCATGGTTACTTGGAATTTAATAAAAGACTGTCTGAGATACCTTTGCAAATACTGGGTACTGTGGCCTACATTCACTGATTGTCAGTTTACTTGAAGGCCTTATATGTTCAGCCTCTATTGAGTGGTGGGGACACAGCAGTGACCCAAATAGCCCAGGCCCTGCCTTCACATGGCTCCCAATCTAGTGGGGGAGATGGACTGGACCCCATACTGGACACCTCTCCAAAGTAGTCAGGGCTGAGATCAGGGAACCCAGAGAAGGCTCTGGCACAAACCTGGGTGGAAGGGTCAGGGCAGGGATTGGGTTGGGGTGGAGTGGGTGGGATGGGAAGAGACCTGTAATAGGTAAAACAAAAGTATTTGGATACATAAGTCTAAGGCAAGCAGAAGTTGGCACAGGTTGTAGTGTAGCTGTAATTGCTCTGAAAATCTGTGTGGCTCAAAGGAAGGGCAGGAGAGCTCAGGTGGGGAACCCAGAAAACCTACTTCATAGCTTGGGATTGGCTTTTCACTGTTAAGAGACCACACTGTTGGCTGCAAAGGTTTTCCTTAGTTTGAGCTACAGCACCAGCATTCTAAGAACTAACCAGTTTTAGATATGGGGAACTTGAGGTCCAGAGAGAGACACAAATAGGCAATCCAGCTCAGGCTGCCTACAGCAAACTCATCTGTCTGAATCCTCTGCTCTCCGGGCTGTGCAGAGGGGCCTGCAGTGACAGCCTAATAACCCTTTTCCGTTAATGATTGGAGGCCAGCAGGGGCAGAAGCTATGTGGAGGAATGCTGCCCAGATTTGTGTTCTAAAATCCTCTCGTTCTCCTGTTGCTAGCTACTGGAACCTGTTTTGCTTCTGGGCAAAGAGCGATTTGCTGGTGTGGACATCCGAGTCCGAGTGAAGGGTGGTGGTCATGTGGCCCAAATTTACGGTGAGTCCCAGGAATTGGGTGGGCAGCAGTTCTGAGAACAAGGTCCTGCTCGGCTTTCACAGAACTGATGTACCCTTGTGTGTGTTTTCCTCACAGCAATCCGCCAGTCCATCTCCAAGGCCCTGGTGGCCTATTACCAGAAATGTGAGTGAGTGGGCCCTTCCCACTGAGTGGTCGGGTGGGGATAAGCTAAGGACCAACTGGCATTTCTCCCCAGAGAACAGGAGGATTCGTCCATGGTTATCTAAATCTTCACCCCTCCTCTCCCCAGATGTAGATGAGGCTTCCAAGAAGGAAATCAAAGACATCCTCATCCAGTATGACCGGACCTTGCTGGTGGCTGATCCCCGTCGCTGCGAATCCAAAAAGTTTGGAGGTCCTGGTGCCCGTGCTCGCTACCAGAAATCTTACCGATAAGCCTATCATGAAGATCAGGATTTGCCTTTATAATAAATGATGGTGTAGGATTTTAAGGTTTCAAGGACTATGCTGTCGTCTCATCTTTAGTGACTCTGACTAAAGGGAATGCAAGAAACCTACCTGCTGCCCCCCCGCCCCCGCAGCCCATTGCCAATCTGAGTTTTAAGCCTTCCCAGAGCTTCCAGATTAGTGTGGATGGGTTAGGAGAGGCTAGTGGGGGCAGAACCCAGTTTCAGTCTCCCCGTCCCTCCAGTAGAGTCCATTGTGCAGGCACAGCTGGGGTGGGGAGGTTCTGTCCTTGGGAGTTTCTTCCCACCCCTGCCTTGCCTTTGCTGCTTTTTAATGGTGTCAGGAAGAGCGGGGCAAATGTATAAGGTCAATCATCTGGGTAGATGAAGTCTAATTTAAGGGCTGGAATGGGGAAAGGAATTTTCCTGTCAACCTGTAGTGTAGATGGTAGGACTGAGAGCTTGGGGTAGAGGTCTGTAACCCCCATGATGGGTGGGATTCCCCATCTGGCTTCATCCTTCAGGGCCTTAATGCCTTACCTTATGGCAAAAGGCCACCTATGGCCTTAAGGGAGGTCCCTGTTACGTTCAGTGTGGCAACTGTCTTCATGGGGCTTGGATTGTCCAGAGGACTTGTTCTATCTGTTGAGCCTGATGTGTAAGATCTAGCATATAGTTAGCACTCAGTTGCTACCACAGGGCTACACAGGTGATGGAACCTTTCCATCGTCTTAAGGTCCTGTAGGACAGCACTAGCATGTGTTTGGGGAAGTTGCCTTCAGTTTTGTCTTTTAATTTTTATAGGAAGGTGGGGAGCTTCACTGGGGTGGGAAGGGCCTCTTGGCTTCCATATAGCCTTTGCAGCTGACCTGGATACCTCAGCCACTTGCCCCCAAGTGGGGTCCCACACCACCCACCCTGCTGGGAGTACTGGTGGGAACATGCAGCACCTGAACGTTGATCAAGGGGGTGAAGGTGCATGAATTTCTGTAAAATGAACTTGACATTCACTGTCATTGCCCTTTTTGTATCTGCCCTACCCTGTGCAGTAGGGCTGCCAAGCTGGGGTGCACAGATAACATCCATCATCAAGAAAAGTTCTATAGAATAGCACTGATCTACAGAGAATACACAAAAGTGTCTTGAACAGATGGAGGGGTTGAGAGCATCAAGAGGGTGCCAGGCTAGGCATGTGTAACATGATTCCCCTGTGAGGGTGATGAGAATCATGTTAGATGAGAAAACTAGCCTACTGGCAAAATGCTGCTCACCTTTTTCTTTGGAGTTTGGGTTAACTGGGTTTGGCTGGCAGTGACCTCAACATCCCAGGGCAGGCAGCAGGCAACCACCTTCACCCTTTTCGAGCCTGACTTAGCTAAAGAGGACTAATGCTAAGACAGCCTACAACAGGCCAGCAGGAAAAGTGCTGCTGAGCACGCACAAACCACCACAAAGCAGAGGTAGGAGTTGGGTGGAATTCAGGGGTGGGGACCAGGAGGAGGGGCTGAGGGAAGCGTGGTGCCCATGGATTTCCCACAGGGACCAGAGGCCCTTACTGAGGCTCCCGGCTCCCTCTGAGAGAGGCCCAGCTGGAGCCTATCTGGAGAGAGGGGCTCACGGACTTGAGACCTTTGAGTAGAACAGCCCTTTTCCCCTCCCTGCCGCCTCCTCAAATACCGGGAATTCCGAAACTGTGGGGAGCCCAGTTAGGGCTGGCTGGAAACTTCACTCAGCCGGGAATGTGCAGCTGGGGGTGGCTGGGAATGTGCAGCTAGGGGCAGAGGGGAGCACCAGCCTCGGTCCTGACCTTGGGGAGGCTGCCGTGGAGCAGGTCCAGGTCCTGGTGTATGGCACTGTGACCATTCAATAACTGAATAGGAGCCAGCAGCTCACATTTACAGAAAAGCTAGGTCTTTTTCTGGCTACCTTACTCAGCTAATTCTCAATTGCCTAGGGCCCCTGGAGTGTCAGGCTGCAAGCCTCCTGCAGGTGGGGTAGGGGCTTCTGGGGGTAAGAACAGTGCCTGGCCCAGGATAAGCCCTCAGACAAGAATACAGACTCCAGCAAGGCTGTGGATTTGAGACCCAGCTCTGCCCTTCCTAACAGTATGACTGGAGAGTCCTTTACTCTGTGTCTCAGTTTCCTCATCTCTAAAGGGGGGATTAAAACCATCCTTGCCTTTTAGGAATGTTGTAAGGCCTCAAAAGTGAATGCGATCACACCAAGTGACTAATGCCCGTGGTATGCAGTTAGTAGTCAATGTCACTTTTTTGTGTTACTGGGCTGTTTAAACTTCAGATTCTTGGGCTCCTGCCCTGGAGGTTCTGATTCCACAGGTTGGCACAAGATCCTTGGGGATCTGATTTGAACAATGGCCCAGTGAGTCAGAGGCTCAAGCACAACTGTAAGTAAGGATACACTCGTTGGATCTACAATGATCCCACAAGGCTGGTACTGTTGTCTTTGTACAGATGAGGAAACCATGCTCACAGGGAGGTTACACACCAAGTAAGAAAGTCAGGACTTGAACTCAGCCATGACACTGGTGCCTAAGACAATTCCAGGGAAGATCAAATAAGGTGTGTTACACAAGAAGTTAAGTGTTCAATGAAAGATGCTAATATTACCAAAGAAACTATTTAAAATATGCTTCTCACTGGGCATACCACTGCTGGGAGGGGGCAGAACAATCCTAACATAAAAGCCTTTGTCTTTACAACCTGAGTTTTTTTGGAGGTGGGGGTACACAGAAGCACCACAGTGGTCCCAAATTGGAAAGGGGAGCAAGGGGATCTCAATGTGTGGGGGTGGGCACAGAACTGGAATACTCATGAGGGTGGGGAGTGGCTGCCAAGAGAAATAAGACAGCTGTGGAACTTTTCCCAGAACCGCGAATCTGATCCACTCTGCTGTTAGCACAGAACTGTCTTTGAAATTTTGTAGTACCAAGGCCCAAAGAATCCCAATTAGAGTTGGATGGAGGATAGAGAGATGTTACGATGGTTGGATGGATGGTTGGCATGACGGATGAGAAGATGGCTGAGTGGAGAAGGAAATACGGAGGGACAGACAGGTGAATACAGAGGGTTGGCTGGAGAAGACAGGTGGGATAATGGATGAAGAGTGACAGGAATGGATGTTATCTAGCAGGGGGTAGGATGATGGATGGTTGAATAAAGCAAGGCATAATGGAGGGATGACGACTGGAAGATAGAGGAAGAGAGAGATGGAAACAGCTGGATGGATAGATGGAGAGCTGAGCGATGAGATGACTGGATGACAGTGGGACACATGACCTGGATAGATTACTAACGGAATGCATCTCTAGGGGCCTACTTGGAACAAAGCTTAAATTGGCTTTCCTGGGTGGGCTTCAAGCAGTTCATAAACCCTCTGAAATCATACACCAGAACTGTACTGGGTCCAGTTTCTAGCAATTCTCAAAGAAGTTTGAGATTCCCCAAATTTTCAGAATCACTGATTTGTGCTGTGTCATACTTTTCCATTACCTCCACACACACTGCCTTCAGAAAGGAAAGACATACATAATTTCATATTAATTAACAAAATATTAATAAATTCCCTTCCCCATCCCTGTTGAGTTAATCAAGGTAAGTAATAAAGACCATTTACCCAATCAGTTTCCCAGGAGCTGGGAAGCTGCAGCAATTTTTAGACCTGTGTTCAGTGTCTGGACTTCCAACTGAAGTTCTAAGGGTCTGTGGCATCTGATTGAAATCTTGCTTTTCAAGAAGCCCAACATCCTGGCTCATGTGTGAAAAGGGGCATCGGGGGCCCCCTGGGCCCTGCGGAGGCCCCCAGAGTCCTGGGTGGGGGCCAAGAGAGCAGGGTGGTTCAACCTGACCTGGGCCTTGGCAGGCCGCAGCCGTCCACCACCACTGACGTGGATGTTGACTGTGGTGGCGTAGCTGAGTCTCCTGGCTGGGGATGGTGGGAGTGGGGGTTGGGGCGGTGGTGAAGGTGCCCGGGATGTGGGGGCAGAGGAAGACCAAGGGCCCTGGGAGGCTGAGAGTGACTCGCGCCCAGACCCTTGCCGCCGAGCTAGGCTCTGGCTGATGTATGAGGCTGCCAGGTATCTTGAGAGAGCAGCTGCGTTGGGGCCCAGGAGGTGGCGGGTTGGGGGAGGGGGACTCTGGGGTGGGGTCAAGTCTGAAGACTCTAACCTGGCAACGTGAGAGACCGAGTGGCCTGGTTTGGACAAAACCACGGTGGTCTGACCTGGGGTGGGCAACAGGCCTTGCATGTCCCGAGAGCCTCCTGGCTCAGGCAGAGGTGCAGCAGCTGGAACACAGATGTTTGTGAGGCTCTTCTGCTCCAACAAAGGTGGAAGTTTTTGGACCTGGAGGTCTGTGAGGCTTTGCTCCCGAAGCCAAGGTGCAGCAGGTGCACCCTGGATGTCTGGGGGACCTCTCTGCCTGGGTGAAGGTGGGAGGGTGGGGACCTGGCTGGCTGTGTGGCCTTGTGGCTGCGCCAAAGGTGAGGTACCCAGAACCTCCACATCTGGGAGGTCATGTTGCAAGGGCAGTAGGGTGCTGGCTAGGATCTGATGGTCCAGGCTGCTTCTGCGTAGAAGCAAAGGGCTGGTAGCTTGTCCACAGACAGTGGCTGAGAACTGAACATTCCCGGAACTGCTGGGCTTAATCAATGGGGTTTTGGCTGGGCTCTGGCTGTCTAGGTGGCCTTCTTGCTTGGGCACAGGAGTGGTGGCTGAAACCATGACATAAGAACAACTTTCCTGCTTGGGCAAAGCTGGGGTGGTCAGTACTTGGATGTCCATGTGATGTCCTTGCTCACGAAAAAAGGTGGTCGTTGGGACCTGTAAATCCACATGGCCACTATGCTCAGGCAAAGGAGTGGCAGCTGGTACTTGGATTTCCAGGTGGCCTTCTTGATCAGGCAAAGTTGTAACAGCTCGAACCTGGATTTCTGGGGGGCCTTCCTGCTTGGGCAAAGGTGTGCTGACTGGAATCTGGATATTCCAGAGGTTTCCTTCCTCTGGCAAAGGGGTAGCAGCTGGAACCTGGATGCCCAGCGGATCTTGCTCAGGCAAATTTGAAACATTTAAACCTTGACCATCCAGGCAGCCTCCTTGCTTAGACAAAGGTGTGGCAGCTTGAACCCGGGCAGCAGAAGCCAGGGGAACAGATTCCTGGGCACAGGTGAGTGGGAAGGCCAGCTCACATACCAGCACATGTCCAAAGGCAGGCAGGGGTCCTGTATGCAAAGACAGACCAAGTCATGACTGATGTCCCAGCATAGACCACTTCTGCTGGCCACACCCCTGGACCTCACCTGGCTCGGCCTGCTCCTGAGGCAGGCAGGGGGACAGCTGGGGCTGGGCCAGAGCCCGCGGCCGGCGACGGGGGGCATTGGCCGATGCCCGGGTCTCAGCGCGCTGCATCTGCTGGATCCGCTCACTGTAAAGCCGTGCCAGCTCACGCACTCGGGATGCTGCCCTCTCTGAACCTGGGGTTCCTGCCTTCCCACTCCCACTGCTTCCACCTAGATCTGAATCTTCCAGAATCAGCAATGGCTCTGGAAAACCTGGCCGGGCCAGCTGCCCCTGCTCCAGTGCCTGCCAGGCGCTCCGGATTTCTGAGCAAGAGCGGAATTCCAGCTCATCTGGGAATCCCTGATTCCTAACATCCTGGGGCTGGAAATTTGTGAATGATACCCCTTCTTCACCAGCCTCCTGCTCTGTTCTACTTCCTGAAGAGGGCTCTCCCAGTTTTCCAGCACTGCTTCCAGGGAACAGTTCTCTCCGGGTGGCTAGAGCCTCTGGCTCCTGCAGAGGTCTCTGGAGCCAGGAGTCACAGGGAAGGGTGGAGGCAGTGGAAAGACCAGAAACGTCAGGGACACTAGGTATGGCTGGGAGGCGGGGCATTTCAAACACACTGGAAATGTCAGAGAGGCTGGGAAGGCAGGGCATTTGAGGCATTTCAGAAAGGCCAGGAATCTTAGGGAGCTTGGATACATTAGGATTTTTGGTAAGGCTGGGAGCGTCGGGAATTTCAGCCACACTGGAACTTCCCAGCCCCTCTAGGACGTGGAGGGGGGAAGGCCCACGGTCACCCATCTCCGGCTCTTCCTCTTCCTCCTCTTCTGAGGAGTCCCGGCTTGGCTGGGTTTGGAATGTGAAGGTTTCACTGTCACCTGTCACCTGGGAGTCTCCAGGGAACTTGGGGATGTCGTGGGGGGATGGCTGTGGTGGGCACTGTGGGAGAGGCCAAAGGAATCCGGGTGGGTTGGTCCCCTTGGCCCCCAATCTGTACCTGCCCAAGCAGAGCCCCGTGAAGGGACACCCGCTCACCCCTGGCTCCCGGAGGCCCCTTTGGCTCAGCAGTTCCAGGATTTCTTCAGTGATTGAGGTCCCAGAGGGGTCCAGTGTTGGGGGTCCAGTGTCCTCCAGGTCTTCAGAGGGTCCAGAAGCTAGAACTGGTGGTTCCGACTCTAAGGACGGATAGAGCTCCCCATCGCTGCCAGCATGCTGAGCAAGGAAAGAGGGTGCATGGCAAGAGTCAAGGGCCCTCAGCCCCTTCCTCCCCCAGGCCCAGGAGTCCGGGCCCAGTCCCCTCCTCCCTCGGATGGTGGAATCCACTCCCCAGCTGCCTTATGCAGACCCAGGATATTGGAACTCAAGTTCCCTCCTCCTCCAGGAGTCTGGGTACCCAAACCCTGCCCCAGGATATTTCTTACCGTGAGTCTAGGCTTAGCTGGGATGAAAAGATGAAAAAGAGAAGTGTGAGATATGGGGATAAGGGTTCCTCCTTGTAACTGATGGGCTGTCCCCTCCTCCCCCAATGCTGGGCATCCCACGGGAAAAGACACAGACAGACAGACAGACAGACAGACAGACAGACAGGGAAGGATGAAGCTGGGCAGGGGCAGTCACTTACCATCCTGTGGAAACATGACAAAACGGTCCTTCGCTGGCTCTGGGGGGAGGACACAGTGATGCTGGGACCCAGCTCCCACCCCAATCCCTGGTTCACTTTTAGGTGGAGGGTACTCACCAGACTGTCTGCGGCCTTGGCGGGTAGCGGTCTGTCCTGGAGACAGGGCTGGGGGACAGGTAGAGCAGAACCCCCATTAGCACCTGGTTCCAGGTTCCCCGGTGCACAATTCCTGGGTCAGGAGGGAGACGAGTGGTGGGGGAGGGTTCCATCTCCTTTACCTGTGTTTCGTCGTCCAGGAGTGAAACTTCTAGCATCTCGAGGTCGGGGAGATCCAAGTGGGGGTGTCAGGGGCTCTGCAACATGCTTGCTTTTAGGAGCACCTGCAGGGAGAGATTTAGGACTAATAATCTACTTTTTCTTGGAAATGATTCCTTTACTCCCACATCCTCCCAACCTAAGGCCCCAACTCACAGTGCAGACTGTTTTCAAGGAGAACTTGTTTTGCCTGAAAGAGATAAGGATGAGGATTGAGGTGGCTGGTCTCTGAGCGCCGAGGTCATAGGCCCATTAATGACCATGGCTACGTGTCCCACACCTTACATGACAGGTGATGATTAATCCTCACTATACCCCTACGAGGTCGGTGCCATTATCCGTCCAGGTGAGGAAACTGAGGCCAAAGAGCAGGTAACTTGACCAAAGTGACAAAGCATGGATATGGGGGAGCTGGGATTTGACCACAGATAACCTACCTCTGCAATTTAAGTGTCATGTTTTTAGAGTCACCCTGCACTCGGGGTCTTCTAGGACTATGGTAGTGGTGATGGTGGGGGTATCTCCAGCACTCTCAGGGTCCCCAGCTGCGGCAGGAGCTGTACCTTGGCAGGGATGGAGGCAGGGTGGTTCTCAAAGAATAGGCGCTGGAGACAGTGAATCCACAGCCTCTTCTCTTCCTGGTTCTTGGCCTGGGGGCGAGGTGGGAGCAGAGTTGGGAGCCAGGTGTGAGCTCTAGGAGCTAGGAGGAGCTCTTCCCACCCAGTGCCACCGTGCTCACCTGTAGCAAGTGCCTGTGCTTGGGAATGGTCACGTCGGACACCTTGAACCCTAGAGGGTCTCGAGGACTCTCGCTCACACTTAGGTTGCAGCACTGAGTGAGGGGGGCAGAGGGGCAGCAAGCTCAGAGTCCTTAGACTCAGTGATGTGTCTCCTGTGTGTGTATTTGGTCCCTCCCCCTAAAAAAATGTGCTCCATAAGGTTGTAGGCGGGTCGCCTGGACCTGGTTGACCCTCCCCACCAGGCTGGGCTCTGTTCCCTTCACCAGCCCCTCCCCACCCTCATGTGGATCAAGATGTGCACCCCCATGAAGACGCTTGACTGGTGGGCAAATACAGACTCTCCCCCTCCTCACCTCTGCAACTTGCTGGCCTCCCCCATCCTTATTAAACTTTGTCATCCTGCATGTCCTTGACCCCCAATCAATAAAACGTGGGCCTTTTAACTGGTGTTATACCTCCTTGCAGACCCCACCCCCAGCCACCCCCTTGGGTATGGATGACCCCAGCCCCATCCCTGAACTCACAAAGATGTGACCCTTGTAGGTGTATTCTGGCCCCCGGCGCTTGGCCACGAGCAGCATCCGTGAGAATAGAAAGAGCAGCCGCTCCCCACCTCGAAGTCGGGGGCCGCCCCCTCCGCCACCTCGGAAAGCGCCCTCCAGCACCAGCTCCCCGAAAGCACTGAGCTCTGGGCCGGTCCAGCCACCTAGCCGCCGCTGCACTTCCTGCCGGATCCCGCCAGGTGCACCGGGTACAGGGCACACACACCAAGCAGGTGGTTAGCACAGGACCATGCGGTCTGAGCCCACCCACCAAGGCCGCTGCTGAAGCACTGACCATCCCCTCCCCACAGGCCTTCCTGGGGTCACCTGGAGGCGAGCAGCATGTTCCTGCTTGCGTTTCATGTCGTTGATGTACCAGGCGACGGCTGTCATGGACACGATAGCCTCCTCCACCATCCCCCGGCCCCCGGAGCCTGGGCCCTCTGCCCAGTGCTTGCCTAGCTCCTGCCAGGCAGCCACCAGTCACCCAGGGAGGGGAAAGAAACAAAGGAAATCGAATGACATGACAGGAGACAGAGAGAGAGAGAGAGAAAAAGGTAGAGACAGAGGTGGAGACCCAGAGATGAAGAGACAAACAAGCAGAGAGAAAATGCAATCAGCTCGTGCCGGTCCCCATGACCATCAAGACCCTACCTTCAGCCCAGTCCCAGTTTCTAGGAACTGGGTGCCTCCCCAGGCCTCGTCCAGCATTTCCTGGGCCCACCCTCCAGATGTACCCCCAGGTGGTCAATGCGCCTCCCCAGGAAGCCCCCCCAGGGCCCACAGCTGACCTGCAGCAGCAGATGGTACTTGAGGATGCGCTGAACAGGTTTTAGCAGGAAGCTCTGTAGGGGCAGGGAGTGGTGGAGCTGGGCCTGGCGCTCCTGCAGCCACAGGGCTGCTGGTGGAGACAGCGACAGCTCCCGGAGCAGGGCCAGGGAGCTGGGGGCACAGCACAGGTCAGAGCCTGGCAGCTCCAGCAGGCTGAGCTGGGAGCGGTCAGGGAGTGGCCAGGGTTTGGGAACAGTCAGGGGCTGGCAGAGGCCAGGGGCAGGTTAGGGACAGGTTAGTTACTGTCTCGGTCTGGCAGGGGTTGGAGCTGGATGGGGCAGGGTGGAGGGAGGGTGCTTGGCACATCGGCTTGTGGGCATGGCCTGGGGCACAGCAGGGGCTCCTCGCCCCTCACCTTGGGTAGTTCATGCAGTACAACGTGTAGATGTCAAAATCCTCGCTCTGCAGGTGACATGGGAGTCAGGGAGGCCTCAGGTCCTGACTCCCCATGACCCCCCTCCAGTCCAGCCCACAGTGGGGGGAGCCCTTGCCCCCCGACTCACCCTCTGCACGAAGCACTCAGCAATGCCCCCTGCGCTGCTCCTGCCCTCCAGGTCCTCCAGCAGCTCGCTGTGGGGGAGAGCCAGGGTAAGGCCCTGCCCTGCCCGCACGGCCCCCACCACAGGGGACTCCGTGAGGCTGGGGGCTTGGTGGCTGCCAGGCTTTCTCAAGGGGATGTCACGTCCAAAGGAAGGGCCCTCTGATGGCTACATGGGAGATCGCAAGCTGCTCACACTGTCCTTGGACAGCGTCCCGTTACTCAGCCTGACATCTTGTCAGGTGGCATGAGCCTGGAGCCTCATGTCATGACCCTCAGAACTGTGATGACCTCAAGATCTGTCGCGATTCTGGGATCTTGACATGACTCTCTGATCCCCCGCAGTAATCTTAAGACCTTATCATGACACTCAGAGGTGTCATGGTTGGACCTTAGCGTCCCCTTCCCTGAGTGGCCAGCCATCCTGGTTTGTCTGGGACTGTGGACAAGCTGGTCACACAGATGCTCACACTGTCATGATCTTCAGGCCCACCATGAACCTTGTATTCCCCAGACCTGACAGTTAGACCCATCCGGATGCCCAGGCCTGTCCTGCTATTTGGACCTCATCTGGGTACTCCAGCTCCTGTCCACCTCACTCCTCCACTACTCTGGGTCCTCACTCCTCATAATGATCCTGCCTAGTGTCACAACACCCCATGTACCAGCCTCGACAGGGCACCATGGGGCTCCAAGGTTTGGTTAGGACATAGCCCACCTCCCACACCCTACCAACTAGTGCCCCTGCCCATCCCACCCATCCCTGACCTGCTGAACTCGTAGATGTCCTCGATGTTGGCAAACAGTGTGCCCACCTGCTCCGTGCTCAGCCCCAGGACCCCGCCATCCAGCAGAGGGCCCAAGTAGTCCTGTGGGGGATGACTGGGGTTAGGGCGGCAGAGGCGCTGGCCTGGGTCCCCACAGTGCTCGTGTGCCTTTCCACCTCACCTCCACAATGCTGCGAAGGTCCCGGACATAGGCCCGCTCTGTCTCCACAATCTCACGGGCCACACGCTCCAGCCTCGAGGGTTTTGCTGAACCTGGAGTCCCCACGGGTGACAGATGCAGGCGAATGGGGGGCCCTGGAAGAGGCTCTGGCCTGGAGGCTGAGCAAGCTGGGGTGGGCCCAGGGGCTGGGTCCCCCTCCGAGCCCACTGTACTCAGGGATGTGGAGCTCCCAGAACCTCGAGGGGAGGCCATGGCAGGAGTTGTGGGTACTGCTGGGGGTATGGAGCAGAAGGTCAGGGGGTCTCCCCATTTGAGTGAGTGCTGTCAGCCCCCACAACCACACACACCTGGTGAACATCTTTGCCACCAGCTCCCTTCTCTCCCTACTGCGCTGCCTCTGTCCAGTCCTATCCTCTCCCATCAGGGTTCTTGCTGGGCCTCTGGCCTCCACCCCTCTAATCAACCTCTATATGTCAGCCTGGGAGACCTTTATTAATTTGCCTGACCTTGTTACTCCCACAAATACAATCCCTTCATCACAGGATGAAGCCCAAACTCCACAGATTCAAAGGGCCCTGGGCAAAGTGACCATCAGAGACCAGACCTTTCCAGGCTGCTCTCTTCCAATAGCCACACTACCTCTTATATTCTAGACCTCAACCACACTTTGAGTCACCGCAATAAGCAGCCTCCTCTGACCTCTGGGCCTTTGCACATACTTTCTGTGTGGAATACTCTTTCTTGCCTTTCACAATTCATTCCTCCAAATCTTTCAATTCTCAGTTTGGATGTCACCACCTCCAGGAAGCCTCCCCTGACTGCCCAGACTGGGCTCGCACAGTCCCCTGACCACTCTATCCTGGGTTTACCCGCTGGACTGTCACCATCTGGGTACTTGTCCCTCTACCCCACCAGATTTAGAGCTCTGTGAGGGCAGAGTGGGAGCTATATTGGTCACCCTGTTGCCGCCAGCATTGCTGGGCAAGCCACAGAGGGCTGCAGTGTCTTGAATGAATCAATGTCCTGTAGGCTACGCCCCTCACTTGCACACTCACCTGTGCGAGTCTCACACACAGCTGCACAGTCACACACGTCACCTCTGCGTCCACGGCCAAGGCTAGGGCTGCGTTTGGACGGACTCAGTCCACGGGCTCCCTCGGGCATGGCTGAGTAGCTCAATGGCTTCTGCAGAAAGACCCCCTTCTTGGATATCAGGACCCCTGTAGGCTTCCCAGCGGTCCACAATCACAGACTTGGGGCTGAGAATTAGGGGTGTGGTCTAAAACATGGAGGGGACCCAGGGAATAAATTAGTTGGGCAGACCAAGGCAAAGTGATGGAAAAAGAAGGACGAGGGGAAATAACAGAAAAAGATGGAAAGGTTGAGACAAAGAACAGTGAAGAAAGCAAAAGAGTCTCTGAAGCTATGAGCCTGGTCTGCCTTGGGCCGGAGGCTCAGGGATCCTGGGAACGTTTGGCCTCCGGCTGGAGCCGAGGGCGAGGGGCAGGGCTGGGAAAAGCCGTGGGCGGGAGGCCGCGGGGTCCCAGGGGAAGGCGGAGGAGGCAGGGGAACCGGATGCCAGGGTCCAGAAGACGGCTCCCTCCCCCGCCGAGGGCTGCCAGTTGGGGCGCTGGCCCGCAGCCTTCCAACCCCCTCTCCCGCCAATCCCTCAGCGATCCTCTCCCAGTCCTCACCGCCGCAGTCGGGTTCCTACCACACCTCTCCAGCCCCCAACTCCCGCCGACGCCTCCGCTCGCCCCCCGCCGGCACGCCCCCTCATTGTTCAGCTGCAGCGGCGCCGCCCCCTCCCCCAACTCGTCGGGGCCCCTCGCCTTCCCCTCACCTCCCGGGGAGTCTCCAGTCCCGAACCGAGGAGCTTGGTTCCTATCCGACCCTGGCACGGTCCCTGGGGAGGCACAGAACCAAGACTCCTGGGTCTCTGCAAGTCAGGGGCGTAAACTTCGGGCTCTCAGGCTGCGGGAACCAGAATCCCGAGTCTCTCGGAGAATGGGGTGCAGCGGTCCGACTTTCTAGGTCCTCTAAGTGGGAAGGATGCTGGGAGCCTCGACTCTTGAGTCTCAGGTGGGGCTGCTGGCGACCCAAATTCCCGAGTCTTCTAGGTAGCGCCGTGAGGGGCCCGGATTCCCGAGTTCCCCTACCTCTAAAAGCCGGGATTAAAACACCTCCAGGAGGGAGCGCAGGGGGGTCTCAAATTTCTGGGTCCTCTCGAAGTAGTGGGCCCATCAGCCCAAAACAGACCGGTTGGAGCGCTAGGAGTCCATATCCCAAGTTCCTCTAACCCCGGGAGTCTTGTGCTTGAACTTCTGGGAAGCCCTGGAGGGAAACTCCGGTCTAGGATCCTAAATTCCTCAAAACCGGGTGCTGGAAGCTCGGCTGCTGTCCCGGACTCCCTGCTCCTCCAGAAGGGGGCGCTGGGCACTTGGATTTTGGGGTCCTTTAGCTTGGATGTGGGAGTCTGAGCTGCGGGGTCTCTCAGGACGCGCGGTTCAGAGACTCGGGACGCCAGAGTCTGCAACTCTGGACCCCTCAGACTCCGGAATGGGTGATACCAGGCTCGGGCCGTGGTGGCGCCACATCTATGGCGGGAGAGTCCGGTCCCAGCTGTGAGGTGGGGGGCGGGAGCCTGGGGCTTCCCCTCCCCCCAACCGCACGGGCCCATATCCTGTTCCCGCCCGCAGGGGGGAGGGGCCGCCTTCCGGCCGGCCTGTCAGGGAAGGGTTAAGACCACACCTCCCGGGTGGTGCTGAATATTCATGAAGGCGAGTCCCAGGCAAGCTACACCCCTACATTCTGAATGCCTCGCGGACTTTTCCCTTTTACAGCAAAGGCTTTCGAGGCGTGAGAATTCAGAGTGGTAATGCGCTTTCTCCTATTGACCAACCCAAAGATTCTTATTTGCATATGCAGTACACGGGAGGGCTGTCTAGCGAGGCCAAGTGGCTACAAATGATTGAAAGATACCGCCACAAGAGGGTGCGGCCAACGCTCCAGTGGCGCAATCGGTTAGCGCGCGGTACTTATACGACAGTGCAGGCGAAGCAATGCCGAGGTTGTGAGTTCGATCCTCACCTGGAGCAATTTTGATTTTCTTGTATCAGCTTTTGTAAATTTATGTATTTCATAAACCAACCAAAACATCTCCATCACTTAGAGGAATGAACTTCAATCTTCAGAATTTTCCGAAGGGAAAAATGTAAGGGAAAACTCCTGCGACTGGCAACTGTCGGCTAGGGAATGTTCTATACTGTGGGGAAGTACCACTTCCATCCTGGCCGCCAGAGGGTGGTATCACCTCTTAGATGCCTGGGCATTTAACTAGGTCTCCAAATCTCAGTTTAATTCTGTAGATGTGTCAGGCTGTGGGTCCTCCGCAAGCTGTGTATGAATAGGGCACTGCCTCCATCTTTCTGTCTTGGATTTTTTCCCCCCAGTTTCAATGAGATATAATTGCCATATAATATTTGGATTAGTCTAAGGTGTACAACATAATGATTTGATATATGTGTAAGCTGTTCAGTGGTTACCACAGTAAGTTTAGGTAACATCATCTCATCGTTGTTCACTTTTTTCTTGTGTCTCGAAGTTTTTAACTCTTACCCTCCCCGTTCCCAAATTGATTTTTTTCCCCAACAAATATTAAATATCCACTCTGTGACCGGTCCGTTAAGGATTTAGACATGAGTGATACAGCAGTGAATAAGACGAAGTCCATGCCCCTGGTTGAAATTCTAGTGATGGAGGCAGATTGCTATAAATGTTAAGAAATGAGTACATTTAATATATAAGGTCGTGATAAATGTCATGGAAAAAGTAAAGCAAGGTGGGAAGTATCAGGGGGTCAAAGGCGGGGTGTAGGTTACACTAATAGGAACCATTTCACCCAGGAGACATTTGAGCAGGGACCTGAAGCAGGGGAGTGAGCCATGGGGATACCTGGAGGAGTGAGTGTTTCAGGCAGAGGGAACAGTCAATGTAAAAGCCCAGTGGCTCAAGTATTGGAGCAATTAGAAAGCTGTGAGCTAAGAGACACCAAAGATGAGAGCCCTGCGGTGCAGGGTTGGTGAGGACTTAGGACTTTGCTTTGACTGAAGTGTCATGAGTCCCTTTAGTTGTCTAGTTGGGGAGTAGGGAGAAAGTAAGGGCTGGGCTCTGAACCAGGAGACCAGGAGGGGCTTTTATGATGGTTCAGGACAGGACAAGGGTAGGGTCAGGAGGAGGAGGCAGGAGGGTGAATCAGACAGGATTGCTGTTGGACTGGGGCGTGGGTTTGAAGAGAGGAGTCAAGGGGACTCTCAGGTTATTTGGCACTGGTAGCTGGTGCTAGGTGCCATTTTCTCAAATGAAGATTTTTTTTTTAGAGGGGACAGAAAATCTGCTTTTTCCAAGGGATCAGTGATGTCTTGATTTTCGTTCTTTCAGTGTCTGTAAACGTTTTTGCAGACTTGATCTTGTTCTCCGCTTCCCCAATGTCCTTGGGTCTGCATTCCTGTCTCTTTTCCAACTCTCTTATACATATGGAGCCCTTTCTCACAAGGTGGAGGGGGGGGGCGGCTAATTTCCTGAACGAGATCAAAGGTGAAGGCCTACCAGTGGGCAAGAGAACAGGGTCAAAGTGGAGAGCGAGGGCAGGGAGGCGGGAGGAGAGAGGGGCGGGGGCTAAGGCCAGGAGGTGAGGGGCTGGGGTGGGGGAAGCCAACACTCGCAGGAGAAAGTGGGTTGGGGGAGGGAGGTGGAACCTAGGGTACAATGAGGGAAAGGGCAGGGAGGGAGAATGGGGAGGAGGGAGAACTGGAAGATAAGAGGGGGCTGGGGGGCTGGAGAGAAGAAATATTAGAAGGGGGATGGGGAGAGGCGTACTGGGGAGAAGTTAGATGGAGTGGAAGGACAGCGCAGGACGGTAAAAAGAGGAACTGAGAAGAGTACGAAGGGTGCGGCGGGGAGTGGAGAGGGAAGTTGGGGGAGGGGGAAGACGCGAGGGGAGGTGCTTGGGAGGGGAGGCCGCGGCGGAAGGGGGGCGGGCGCAGGCGCTGACGCGAGGCGGCTTCCGGGCGCTGGCCGCCTGCTTCGCCGCAGGGAGGTTCCCGCTGCCTCTTGCCTTGTATGGTGCGGAGGACACAGCTCTCCCGGGGCGGGCCCCGCCCGGACGCGGCCGCGACCCACACACACTGGCCTGGCGGATCAGCCCTGCCCTCGACCCCGCCTGGAGCTCCAGACCTCGAGCTTCCCAGCCTCGCAAATGCCGAGATCCCGCAGTCCCAAATTGTCGAATCGGACAGGCCAGGACTCGGCAACTCCGAGCTTCTGGGGCGCTGGGAAACCAGGAGGTTACGTTGTATGATCCCTCAGCTTCCTGAGACACCGAGGGTCTAGACTCCCAGGTCGCCACGAGACTCAGATCCCAAGCATGTTGAAATTCTAGAATTCCGGGGCTGTAAAAATGCTTCTTCCAAATTCGGCAAGTCTTGACTCCCCAGACCCTCCTGTCCTGGATCGCTGCGTTCAGGGATTCCAGGACGCCCAGCTTCCGGGCGAGGCCTCCTCCGACCATCCCCGCCCACCCTGGGCTCGCGCCCCGGCACATTCCGTCCTCTCCACCCAGCTCCGCCCTCTTCCCTCAGCCCCGTGGGGACGGAAACATCTCGTCCCCGCCTGGCCGAGAGCGGGGTCAGGGAGCCGGACCCGACGAGCGCCCGCGCCCCACCCCCGCACAGGAACCGGCTCTCCAGGTTCCAAACGGATGACCTCACCTGGCCCCGCCCTCTCAGGTGCGAGGCCGGGCCAGGTGACGTCACTTCCTGCCAGGTAAGCTCCGCAGATGGCTCGAGGGTGGGGAGATTTGGAAAAGGTGTCGCCGACTCAGCTTCTTAAAAAAAGGCCACACATCCCGCCGCCCCGTCACTCATCTTACTGCTTGCACACCTCAGTAAAACCGGGATTCCAGTTTACAGATTTTTTATTTAAAAATTCCAAAAAAACACAAAAATAAACTTTTAATATATATTACTTATAATATATTATAGTATACTTATAACATTCCAACGTTTCCAATATTACAAAAGGGATGAAGAAAAATACAAGGGAAGCAGACGACCCAATATATATAAATACTATAAAATCTATTAGAATAAATAAAAGTCGTCATAAATAAAGGGCCCCAATGGCTGAGGGTGGGGCGGCAACAGCTTTGGCTACTTGCTTTTGGAGGGAATTTGAGCACCAGGATCCCCCTGGGGGGGGTGGAGGGGGCTCCAGTCACCACCAGACACTGGAACCTCAGGGTCTAGGAAAACTTGGGGTGGGGGGCAGTGGGGGCCTATTATTCACAGCATTGGGCAGGGGAAAAGTGGGGAAAGGTTCACTGCCTCCCTCAAATTTGCTACATTTTTTTAAAGGACCCCAGAAAAAGACTTCTTCCCCCAACACCATAAACACCGAGCTCTCTCGAACACTGGGGACCTGCCCCAGCGGGAGGTCAGGGGAGTGGGTTAATGCATTTTCAAAAGTGCAGAGGAAGCTGTTTAAGCGTCCTCCAGTTCCCTACGGAGCCAAGTACAAGAGAAATGGCCCCCCTTGAGATCCAGCTGATCAGTACTGGGCAGTCACTCAGAAACGGAGATGCGATTGAAGATGGGGAGTCGCCGGGGGACTGCAGGTGGTTGGGGTGGCCCAAAAACCCCGGCCTCGAAGACAGGTGAGTCAGATCCCCCCAGGCTGCTGCCGCTGCTGGCATATTCATCGGGATCAGATCCCAGGGAGTGTGCAGAAGGGCTCCGAGCCAGGCCACCCACGGGCCCCCAGAGGCTGCTGGGGGTGGCCCTTCGGCAGGAAGGGCAGCAGGCTGGGGTGGGGTCCCTTCGGGCCACAGGAGTCCCAGGGGCAGCAGAGAAGGCAGAGGGTGAAAGTGGAAGATCCCCAGGTGGTGGTGGTGGGGAGTTGGAGGGCGAGAAGGAGCAGGAGGACAGGGAAGGGCCTGCCAGGCCTGCTGGTGGTGGTGAGGTTCGGCGGCCAGAGGGCAGGCCTGAGAAGCTGATGCTCTGGCGCAGGACATGGGGGTGGCCCGGGGCAGCCTGGTCCTCACTAGGGTTGTGAATGAAGTGGCAGCGCGATCCGTAGGGGCAGCGGCCCTGGAGGTAGAACTTGTGGCAGAGTTCCGTTTTGTACTTGGGGTGGCGACTAGCTTGGCGCAGCTCGCCCAGGCCATGGGCGAACTGGCACTTGGCCCCATAGCGGCAGCGGCCGCTCTCTGAGAAGGTCCGACATAGCTCAGTCTTGTAACGGGATGAGGTGGTGGGGGTCGCAGTAGGTGAAGTGGGTGAGGGCGACAACTCAGGGCCCGGGCGGGGAGCCAGGGGTGCGAATCCAGGGGGTGGGGGCACCCAGCCGCAGCTGCGACCCTCCACCAGGCTAGTGGATCGGCCAGGCAGGCGAGCTGGGCTGGAGTCAGATGAGCTGAGGCTCCAGAGTCCGGAGGAGGCCCAGCCTGGGCTGGACTCAGTGTCTCCGTGGTCGGATGACAGGTCAGGGCTCAGCGACAGGAGGCTCTGCGGGAATTGGGATTGTTAAGACACCGAAAATAAAGTGTGACGCCCCGCCCCGGCTGCAGGGCACCTAAGAGCTTGCCAGTCCGGTTTGTAGGTTCCGGGCCTGAACCC